AATAAATGCTTAGTGTCCTGTCGTGATGGTGCATCGCGATGTAAAAAGACTTCGAGGCTCACTGGTAAGTCGAATCAAAGTCCTGGCGTGTTGATCGCTCCATTTTTTTCCTTCACTTGACAGCCTGTTGCTTCACAGAACTGTCAAGTTACAGAATATGATCGGGAAAGATCAATTCGGGTTTTTGTTAAATTTCCCATTAATGTTTAGGCTCTTAACTCCAGGATCATAAACCAGATGTGATTTATTTTAGTTCAAAACCCTAAAGGCCCTCAAGGGATTTTAAGTAAACTCTGGCTTTTTTGGTTTTGAAAAGAAATCGTAAATTGACCCAAAATTCTCAGATTAAGAATGTATATGCAAAGGGTTTGCGGGATAATTTTGCCTGAGATTAATTGGTTGAAAAAATCCAATGAAACGTCGCGATAAAACGTTAGTTGGGTTGTCAGGGAGAAAGTTGCAGTTGCAAGGGGAAACTAAAATTGTGGAAGAGTACAACTGAGGTTGGAAAAGCTGCATTATTTCCGTCCTTGAGTACACTTCTGGAGGCCAAAACATTTTCACTCATGATCCAGTGTGACCAGCTCTACCTGGAGCTCATTACCTTCGGAGTCCAGTCCCTGGACCCATTACGTACCTCTGTAATCTTTTGACTACCACCCACAGGATGGGTATGAGCTGCATAATAAACATATTAAACTAAACTAAACATCCAGATGCCATAACATCATCGTGGAACGTATTTCCCAGTTGATCACAGAATTTAATACTATATTCCTGGGAATGTAACGAAATGCCTCTGGATAAGACACTCCCTTCAACATTGAACCTAAGGATCCACCTGACGATACTTCCAACAACAGGAAACTACAGGAGCAGTTCATTCTGTATCATAGTTTGCATAGAAAAGCAAATTCTTGAAGGTGAAGCCCTGACAATGTTTCTTCCCTCTGTCAAAAACTTGCTGGTGGCAGGTGGGATGTACATGAATGGTATACAATGCCGACAAGATGAAAGTTAGACAAGTGTGCAAAATCTGGGTATCTTACTGAAGACGTTTCGCCTATATAAGCGCCAGCCTTCTTGCCTGTGCTCCAGAATCTCCACAGCTACGGTGTTCTTCACACCAGCTCCAAGACTGAGGGACTGATTACTTCATCTGATTACACCACCTGTCTTAGAATTAGCGTTGATAAATCCACTGGATGGCGAAACGTCTACAATAAAGATACCCAGATGTTTGTAGATGAATGGTTCAGAGAACCGACATGTTGATAAATTAGACACATGTGCAACTCTTGTGTATCTTTATTGAGGAAACGTTTCGCCACACAGTGGCTTCATCAGTCCATACATAGGAGAAACTTGAAGAACAGGAGGAGAATGAGGTAATCAGTCCCTCAACCTTGAGTCGATGTGTTCAGTCCATCAATCTTGAGTAGAATACGGCAGATGAGCTGAGAAGCAGCTTATAAACCGTATGGCAGGAGAGGTGTAGCAGTCATAGGTGGTGTCACATTTGTTCAATGTTGAAGTAGGTCGTGCCCAAGAATTAGGCAAGCGAAGAATTCCTAAGTATTAAGATCCCAAGAAGTTGCAGTGTCTGACAGGTTTGTAGATGAATGGTTCAGAGAACCGACATGTTGATAAATTAGACACATGTGCAACTCTTGGGTATCATACCCAGATGTTGCACATGAGGCGGGATTTTCAGCACTCACGGGCACGGAGACAAACAATAAAAGAAAATTAAAACCAGAGTATACCATAAATGACTTATAGATTTGTGCAACGCCTTGGTATCTTTATTGCTGAGACGTTTCACCTGTCAGTAGCTTCCTCAGTCCAGTACAGGACACAGTGGTTGAAGGACAAAAGGACTTCGAGGTAATTAGTCCCTCAGCCTGAAGTCGATGTGATTACTTCAGCAGTCTTGGAAAGACTGGTGAACTGATCACATCAACTTAAGGCTGAGAAACCGATTACCTCAAACTCCTGTTCTTCAACCATTCTTCTCTGTATTGGACTGAGGAAGTCACTGGTTGGTGAAACGTTTGCACAGTAATGCTATCCAGGTGTTGCACAAGTGTCTAATTAATGAACCTGTCGGTCCTCTGATCCGGTTATCTACATGACGTAAGATATAATCTGTCACCTGATGGCTCATCAGGTGACAGATATGTCTTAGACATATGATGACCCACAACTGGAGCTTTTGGTCATCTGATTGAGGCCTTCCGCTGGCTTACCACTTCAAGAATTATGGTCATGATTCTAACCATTATAATCTATACAACTATGCAATGTTCGGGATCTCATTAATTGTTGACGACTCCTTTTATACCCGACCACCCCAGTGGTAACACAGGGACACCAGTGGTAACACAAGGACACCAGTGGTAACACAGGGACACCAGTGGTAACACAAGGACACCAGTGGTAGCACAGGGGGGACACCAGTGGTAACACAGTGACACCAGGGGTAACACAGGGACACCAGTGGTAACACAGAGACACCAGTGGTAACACAGGGACACCAGTGGTAACACAAGGACACCAGTGGTAACACAAGGACACCAGTGGTAACACAAGGACACCAGTGGTAACACAAGGACTCCAGTGATACATGATTATATACACTTGGAAAATGCAAGAGGGATTAGTACCAAACTTACACACGAAAATCACTCCCTGTGAAAACAAAAGACTCGGCAGGAGATGCATCATTTCCCCAGTGAAAAGCAGGGGTGCCACGAGTACACTGAGAGACAACACAATAAGTGTCAGGGGCCCAAGATTGTTCAACTGCCTCCCAGCATACATAAGGGGGATTACCAATATACCCCTGGCTGTCTTCAAGACCCCTGGTTGTCTTCAAAACCCCTGGTTGTCTTTAAGAGCCCTGGTTGGCTTCAAGACCCCTGGTTGTCTTCAAGACCCCTGGCTGTCTTCAAGACCCCTGGTTGTCTTCAAGACCTCTGGTTATCTTCAAGACCCCTGGTTGTCTTCAAGACCCCTGGTTGTCTTCAAGACCCCTGGTTGTCTTCAAGACCCCTGGTTGTCTTCAAGACCCCTGGCTGTCTTCAAGACCCCTGGTTGTCTTCAAGACCCCTGGTTGCCTTCAAGACCCCTGGTTGTCTTCAAGACCCCTGGCTGTCTTCAAGACCCCTGGTTGTCTTCAAGACCCCTGGCTGTCTTCAAGACCCCTGGCTGTCTTCAAGACCCCTGGCTGTCTTCAAGACCCCTGGTTGTCTTCAAGACCCCTGGCTGTCTTCAAGACCCCTGGCTGTCTTCAAGACCCCTGGCTGTCTTCAAGACCCCTGGCTGCCTTCAAGACCCCTGGCTGTCTTCCAGCAGGCACTGGACAAGCACCTAAAGTCAGTACCTGACCAACCGGGCTGTGGTTCGTACGTTCTATTGCGTGGGGCCAGCAGTAACAGCCTGGTTGATCAGGCCCTGATCCTCCATGAGGCCTGGTATCAGACCGGGCAGCCGGGGCGTTGACCCCCGGAACTCTCTCCAGGTAAACCTAACCTGACCTGAGTCCTGATCTCCAGGACGACCCACATATCAGGGAACAGGTGGGGTTTGAACCCAAGGTTCGGATTTAATATCATTTATTATATAATTCATCTACCACAATAGGATCCCAGTGGAAATTAAGTCAGTTTAACTGACTTTTTTGGGCCCACAGGATAGCTATGGACTGCATCATAACTTGCGACTTAGGTTCAAACCCCATCCGTTCCCTGATATATGGGTGGCCCGGTGGCCTGGTGGCTAAAGCTCCCGCTTCACACACGGAGGGCCCGGGTTCGATTCCCGGCGGGTGGAAACATTTCGACACGTTTCCTTACACCTGTTGTCCTGTTCACCTAGCAGCAAATAGGTACCTGGGTGTTAGTCGACTGGTGTGGGTGGCATCCTGGGGGACAAGATTAAGGACCACAATGGAAATAAGTTAGACAGTCCTCGATGACGCACTGACTTTCTTGGCTTATCCTGGGTGGCTAACCCTCCGGGGTTAAAAATCCGAACGAAATCTTATCTTATCTCTTGGAGATTCTCCCCAATATTTTGGATCACTGCCCAAAAAACCGCGAAAGATTAAGAATCACAGTTTATATGGTAACCCTTAAGTGATAACTAAAAATAACTCGACTCAGCAAAAAAATGTCATTGTGGAACGTGTTGAAACTTCTATATATACCAAGATATACCTGAAATAACAATGAAAGTTGGTTTCGTGTGATAAATGATGAAAAAACGATACGAAGAGGTTAGAAATAGTTTTATTTAGATAATAAATGCATGAGAATAACACATGGGTCTATATATAGCAACATGAAGGCTAAGAATAAACTATCTCACACAAAGACTTAACGACGTAAATCCATTATGAGAAATATTCTGGCTAAACGTAACTGGGTCCCCATTTTGGTTGCTTATTTATATATTAAAACTGCGTTGGGGAGTTTAATTTAGCGTTTAGTGAAGATGTTGGATGTAAGATGAAGATGTGTGTGTAGTAGAGATGAGATAAGAGGATGTGATGACGTATATAATACTGGATACATGGTCACCTTCCCCTGACTAACTCGACCACAAATTACCCACCATCTCTCTCCTGTTGTCTTTTATAGGGATAACTCACTCAAAATAACTTTATCCCGTCATTGTAATTTTACTACGGAGTGTCACAAAAAGAGTTGCGTTTTATACAATGTGTTGGTGTAAAAGTTTTGCCTAGTAAGGTTGGTCTAGAATATATATCAATTTTGAAAAGACCGCCATTACAAGGACTATCCAGAATTATTTTTTTCACAAATTTGTACAAATGCGACAAAAAAAAGTACGAATACCGAGTCGCACAAAACTTTTATTCCCCCAGCAATTATTCAGTAGCTAAATAAATCTCACATACTCTAAAACATATGATGTTACTAAATTTTACAACACTTAATTTCAGACTTAGATTTCAAGGTCTAGGAGAAATATTATAAGAACATCAGTAAGAAATGAAAATGGCGACGAGTAGTGGAAGGTGCAGCGTCGAGCCACCACTCTTTGGCCCTCACACTGGCCACGACCCTATTAAGGCACTCTACCCCATGGTTAATGAAGAGGAGACGCCCCTTCCAAGGTGTTGGAGCAGCAAGGACAAGTACAGCTTCATCGGTTTAACACAAAATAATCTCAGAGTTCACTATAAGGGTAAGTGACTCTGCCTTTCCTCTTTGTTTATATTAATATTGGCGTTGATATTATTTGTAGTCCGAGGTAGATGGGTGTCCCTTGAAGGTAGATAGGTAGATGAGTCCTCGCTGGGGCCCCTGGTCGTCCCTGTGGCCCCTAAGTGGCCACAATGGCCAGATATTGGAGGACAGTTAAGAGGGTCCTGGTTCTTTGTTGTTGGTGCGATCAGCTGATTGCGACGCACTGTTGATGGGCCCTCACCTGCTGGGCCCTCACTTGCTGGGCCCTCACCTGCTGGGCCCTCACTTGCTGGGCCCTCACCTGCTGGGCCCTCACCTGCTGGGCCCTCACCTGCTGGGTCCTCACCTGCTGGGCCCTCACCTGCTGGGTCCTCACCTGCTGGGCCCTCACTTGCTGGGCCCTCACCTGCTGGGCCCTCACCTGCTGGGCCCTCACCTGCTGGGCCCTCACCTGCTGGGCCCTCACCTGCTGGGTCCTCACCTGCTGGGCCCTCACCTGCTGGGCCCTCACCTGCTGGGCCCTCACTTGCTGGGCCCTCACCTGCTGGGCCCTCACCTGCTGGGCCCTCACCTGCTGGGCCCTCACCTGCTGGGCCCTCACCTGCTGGGCCCTCACCTGCTGGGCCCTCACTTGCTGGGCCCTCACCTGCTGGGGCCTCACTTGCTGGGCCCTCACCTGCTGGGCCCTCACCTGCTGGGCCCTCACCTGCTGGGCCCTCACCTGCTGGGCCCTCACTTGCTGGGCCCTCACCTGCTGGGCCCTCACTTGCTGGGCCCTCACCTGCTGGGCCCTCACCTGCTGGGCCCTCACTTGCTGGGCCCTCACCTGCTGGGCCCTCACCTGCTGGGCCCTCACTTGCTGGGCCCTCACCTGCTGGGCCCTCACTTGCTTTGCCCTCACCTGCTGGGCCCTCACCTGCTGGGCCCTCACCTGCTGGGCCCTCACCTGCTGGGCCCTCACTTGCTGGGCCCTCACCTGCTGGGCCCTCACCTGCTGGGCCCTCACTTGCTGGGCCCTCACCTGCTGGGCCCTCACTTGCTGGGCCCTCACCTGCTGGGCCCTCACCTGCTGGGCCCTCACCTGCTGGGCCCTCACCTGCTGGGCCTTCACCTGCTGGGCCCTCACTTGCTGGGCCCTCACCTGCTGGGCCCTCACCTGCTGGGCCCTCACCTGCTGGGCCCTCACTTGCTGGGCCCTCACCTGCTGGGCCCTCACTTGCTGGGCCCTCACCTGCTGGGCCCTCACTTGCTGGGCCCTCACTTGCTGGGCCCTCACCTGCTGGGCCCTCACCTGCTGGGCCCTCACCTGCTGGGCCCTCACCTGCTGGGCCCTCACCTGCTGGGCCCTCATCTGCTGGGTCCTCACCTGCTGTGCCCTCACCTGCTGGACCCTCACCTGCTGGGCCCTCACCTGCTGGGTCCTCACCTGCTGGACCCTCACCTGCTGGGCCCTCACCTGCTGGGCCCTCACCTGCTGGACCCTCACCTGCTGGACCCTCACCTGCTGAACCCTCACCTGCTGGACCCTCACCTGCTGGGCCCTCACCTGCTGGGCCCTCACCTGCTGGGCCCTCACCTGCTGGACCCTCACCTGCTGAACCCTCACCTGCTGGACCCTCACCTGCTGGACCCTCACCTGCTGGGCCCTCACCTGCTGGGCCCTCACCTGCTGGGCCCTCACCTGCTGGGCCCTCACTTGCTGGGCCCTCACCTGCTGGGCCCTCACCTGCTGGGCCCTCACCTGCTGGGCCCTCACCTGCTGGGCCCTCACCTGCTTGGTCCTCACCTGGGCCCTCACCTGCTGGGCCTTCACCTGCTGGGCCCTCACCTGCTGGGTCCTCACCTGCTGGGTCCTCACCTGCTGGGCCCCTCACCTGCTGGGCCCCTCACCTGCTGGGCCCCTCACCTGCTGGGCCCTCACCTGCGGGGCCCTCACCTTCTGGGCCCTCACCTGCTGGACCCTCAACTTCTGGGCCCTCGCCTGCTGGGCCCTCGCCTGCTGGGCCCTCACCTGCTGGGCCCTCGCCTGCTGGACCCTCGCCTGCTGGACCCTCGCCTGCTGGACCCTCGCCTGCTGGGCCCTCGCCTGCTGGGCCCTCGCCTGCTGGGTCCTCACCTGCTGGGCCCTCACCTGCTGGGTCCTCACCTGCTGGGCCCTCACCTGCTGGGCCCTCACCTGCTGGGCCCTCACCTGCTGGGCTCTCAGCTGCTGGGCCCTCACCTGCTGGACTCTCACCTGCTGGGCCCTCACCTGCTGGGCCCTCACCTGCTGGGCCCTCACCTGCTGGGCCCTCACCTGCTGGGCCCTCACCTGCTGGGCCCTCACCTGCTGGACCCTCACCTGCTGGGCCCTCACCTGCTGGGCCCTCACCTGCTGGACCCTCACCTGCTGGACCCTCACCTGCTGGGCCCTCACCTGGGCCCTCACCTGCTGGGCCCTCACCTGCTGGGCCCTCACCTGCTGGAGCCTCACCTGCTGGGTCCTCACCTGCTGGGTCCTCACCTGCTGGGCCCTCACCTGCTGGGCCCCTCACCTGCTGGGCCCTCACCTGCTGGGCCCTCACCTGCTGGGCCCTCACCTGCTGGACCCTCACCTGCTGGACACTCAGGTGCTGGGCCCCCACCTGCCAGACCCCCACCTACTGGACCCCCACCTGCTGGGCCCTCATCTGCTGGACCCCTCACCTGCCGGACCCCTCACCTGCTGTACCTTGTTGCTTGCTGCGCCCTAGCCTGCTGGACCCCTTGCTTGTCGGGGCCCTCGCTTGCTGCTGCCCTCGCCTGCCAGAACCCTTGCCTCTCACCCTCTGGGCCCTCGCAGGCCTGCACCTCTTGCCTGCTTGGGATCTGACCTCTCCTGCTGGGGACCTGACCTCTCTCCTGCTGGTGGCCTGACCTCTCTCCTGCTGGGGGCCTGACCTCTCTCCTGCTGGGGGCCTGACCTCTCTCCTACTGGGGGCCAGTTCTCTCTCCTGCTGAGGGCTTGACCTCTCTCCTGCTGGGGGCCTGACCTCTCTCCTGCTGGGGGCCTGACCTCTCTCCTGCTGGGGGCCTGACCTCTCTCCTGCTGGGGGCCTGACCTGTCTCCTGCTGGGGGCCTGACCTGTCTCCTACTGGGGGCCAGTTCTCTCTCCTGCTGAGGGCATGACCTCTCTCCTGCTGGGGGCCTGACGTCTCTCCTGCTGGGGGCCTGACCTCTCTTGCTGGGGGCCTGACCTCTCTCCTGCTGGGGATCTGACCTCTCTTCTGCTGAGGATCTGACCTCTCCTGCTGGGGACCAGACCTCTCTCTCCTGCTGGGGGACTGACCCCTCTCCTGCTGGGGCCCTGACCTCTCCTCTGCTGGGGGCGTGACCGGTCGCCTGCTGGGGGCATTACCTCTCACCTGTTGGGGCCCTGACTTCTCTCCTGCTGGGGCCCTGACTTCTCTCCTGCTGGGGCCCTGACCTCTCTCCTGCTGGGGCCCTGACCTCTCTCCTGCTGGGGCCCTGACCTCTCTCCTGCTGGGGGCCTGACCTCTCTCCTGCTGGGGGCCTGACCTCTCTCCTGCTGGGGACCTGACCTCTCACCTGCTGGGGGCCTGACCTCTCGCCTGTTGGGGCCCTGACCTCTCTCCTGCTGGGGCCTGACCTCTCTCCTGCTCGGGGCCTGACCTCTTTCCTGTTGGGGGTCTGACCCCTCTCCTGCTGGGGGCCTGACCTCTCGCCTGCTGGGGGCCTGACCTCTCGCCTGCTGGGGACCCTGACCTCTCTTCTGCTGGGGCCCTGACCTCTCGCTTGCTGGGGCCCTGACCTCTCGCCTGTTGGAGCCCTGACCTCTCGCCTGTTGGAGCCCTGACCTCTCGCCTGTTGGGGCCCTGACCTCTCGCCTGTTGGGGCCCTGATCTTTTGCCTGTTGGGGACCTGACCTCTTGCCTGCTTTGGGCCTGACCTCTCTCCTGCTGGGGGCCTGACCTCTCTCCTGCTGGGGGCCTGACCTCTCTCCTGCTGGGGATCTGACCTCTCTCTTGCTGGGGACCAGACCTCTCTCCTGCTGGGGACCAGACCTCTCTCCTGCTGGGGACCAGACCTCTCTCCTGCTGGGGACCAGACCTCTCTCCTGCTGGAGGCCAGACCCCTCTCCTGCTGGGGGCCTGACCTCTCGCCTGTTGGGGGCCTGACCTCTTGCCTGTTGGGGGCCTGACCTCTCGCCTGTTGGGGGCCTGACCTCTCGCCTGTTGGGGGCCTGACCTCTCGCCTGTTGGGGGCCTGACCTCTCGCCTGCTGGGGCCCTGACCTCTCGCCTGCTGGGGCCCTGACCTCTCGCCTGCTGGGGCCCTGACCTCTTGCTTGCTGGGGCCCTGACCCCTCGCCTGCTGGGGCCCTGACCCCTCGCCTGCTGGGGCCCTGACCCCTCGCCTGCTGGGGCCCTGACCCCCTCGCCTGCTGGGGCCCCTCACGTCATGCCTGCTGTGACCTCTCACCTGCTACACCTTCACCTCTCACCTGCTGGGCTCCACACCACACCTCTCCCAAGGTCTCGTTAGATACAGTAGTGATATTTTGAATGTAAACAAATGGACACAGTTATAATTATGTGTACAGTGGTACCTTGGTTTTTGTCATTAATTCGTTCCAGAAAGTCTGACGAAAATCGAATTTGACGGAAACTGAAGCAATATTTCCCATGAGAAATAAGGTAAATCCAATTAATCCATTCCAGACACTCAAAAATATTAACAAAAAATACTTTTTATAGAGAATAACTATAGTTTTACTTACAGAAAACAAGAAATAAATATAAAGGACTAATGAAATGGATAAATGAGCATTTAAATCACTTTTACCTTTATTGAAGACTCTTGTTGGCTTATGGAGGATGGTGAGGAGGGGAGAGGGAAGAGAGGTTGTCTCTACCACCATCACTGCCACCCTCTACCACCATCACTACCACCCTCTACCACCATCACTACCACCCTCTACCACCATCACTACCACCCTCTACCACCATCACTACCACC